AGAAACTGGAAAAAGCAAGAAACAACTGCTACCCAGTGCCTACTAAAAGGAATACGTCTCTGCCCATACCTTGACTTTAGTCCACTGAGACTCATGTCAGATTTCTGACTGATATAAATGTAAGATAACAAACTTGTACTATTTAAGTCACTACGTTTGGGGTAATTTGTTATGGCAGCAATAGAAAACTAACACAAATGGTACACACACCCCTGAAAGTCTCCAAGACCCTTTCTGTGAGGTCAAAATAAGATTTGTAATTATACAAACAAATTTCTTTTACTTTTTTACCTTAATGATATTTTTAATGGTTGTAGATGTTACAAAAGCAATGTTGAGTAAAACTGATGGCACTGTAGTAGAAATAACTATACTTGTAATTATCATATTCTTTATCATAATGCACTCACAGAAAAAAATTCTAGTTTCACTTAAGCATATATGATAAAGCAGTAAAAAAAAAAAAAACCCGTATTAAATCTTGACCTTTGGGCACATGTGTTTTTAATAGTAACTGTGACAAAATGGGAAGGATACAGCTCTGCTGCATCTGGAATTTTCATGATTATCTTGAGGAAAAGCATTTGTTCAGTTGTTTTGTTTGAGTCGTGAGCTGAATCAATAACTGTTTTCATGGATTACCTTTTTTTTTGAGACTGAGTTTCGCTCTTGTTGCCCAGGCTGGAGTGCAATGGTGCAATCTCAGCTCACCATAACCTCCGCCTCCCGGATTCAAGCAATTCTCCTGCCTCAGCCTCCCAAGTAGCTGGGATTACAGGCACGCACCACTACCCCAGCTAATTTTTGTACTTTTAGTAGAGACGGCATTTCTCCACGTTGGTCAGGCTGGTCTCAAACTCCTGAGTTCAGGTGATCTGCCCACCTTGGCCTCCCACAGTGCTGGAATTACAAGCATGAGCCACCGTGCCCAGCCATGGGTTACCATTTTTTTCTTCAAAAACAACTAGAAGATAAATGTTAGTTTTTCATACATATTTTTTCAATCTTTTCTCTCTGTTGTTTAGTTTGGATGATTTCTGTTTACACTCTTTCTTCTGTAATCTACATTCTGTAATTTAGCCCATTAAGTACATATTTTATTTCAGTTCTTTGTTTTAGTCCTACGGTTTCCACTTGTTTCTTTTCTTATTTTGTTTCTTGGCTGAGGTTCTCTCTTTTCATTCATTTTAAGAATGTTTGCCCTTATGACTTGGAGCATGGTTATAATAGCTGCTTTAAAGCCTTATTCTGATTATTTCAACATCTTTGTCTTGTTAGGGTTGGTATTTGCTGTCTTTTCCCTTGCAAGATATTGAGATTTTCTTAATTCCTCCTATGTTGAGTGATTCTGGATTACATCTTGGATATTTTGATTATTATGTCATGAGACTCTGACTCTTGTTTAAATCCAAAAGAAAATTACAATTTGTGTGTGTATGTTTTAACAAGCCATTGACCTGGCTGGGCTCAGGCTATAAGCTTCTACCCATCTTTAAGGTATGGTTCACTGTTAAACAAGTTTACAGAGACTTTGCAGTGTTATTCAAATCTGCCCTGTATGCGTGCCATCCAGTGGCATATTTGGGACTTAAAAGTGGCCTACCTCACAGAGTTTAGTTCTCAAAGCCTTTGTTACACTACTTGGGGTTAGAGAAATTCATGTTCCACTTGGGGATGGTCCAGGTGTTTATATACAACTTTATGGCATTGCTTTATTGACTCCCTTCTCTCTATGATCTTTCTGAAACTTTCCACTCCCCAAAAGTCCTCCTTCTCCAGCTAAAAAGCCAGAACTTTTATTTCTCCACTCTGCTGTACGTATCTCACAACTGCATCTGTTTCAGGGGCCAAATGGTGAGAGGATAGAGGGAGGGAAAGGAAATAATAGGGACTCCTCTATCTTCTTGGAACCACAGTTCCTCTGATCCAAGAGAAGAGTTCTTCTTCCTGAGAATTTTAGATGCCTGTCCAGCCACCACTGTTGATGCTGCCACTGCCACCACAGGATTTCCTGGGGGTCTGGGCATAATAGAAAAAAATCAAGGCATTTACTTCACTCTTTCTGAAGCAGAGGGATCCCATTTCCCTCTTTCTAGGGAGCTTCTTAGAACGTCTTTTAGAACTTTCTGTCTGTGCCCAGTGTGTAGGTTTGGGTTTCAGGTTGCACTGGACTCACCCAGCCAAAACATATTGGGGGTGGGAGTGGAGGAGTTCTCAGCTGCCCCATGCATTGGGTCTAGGGCTTTAAATTGCTATCAAGGGGAGAGGCAGAGTGCAATGTGCTTACTTCATATTGACCAAAACCAGAAGTGGTCTCCTAGTTTTTACCCACTTCCTACTCCAGGGGTTGTTTCTTCTTATTGCCCCTTGGTTAGCTTTTCCTAATTGGCTGGCTTTAAATATTAGCATTACCTTAGGCTCATTTTAGGCAATTTTCTCACTCTACTTTCTCTCCCTAGTTTGTGTTAACCATGTTCATTACTGAAATTATCATGCACATGCAAAGTTTGTATCTCCAAACTGACCTTTCTCGTTAATTCCAGACTAGCATATCCAACTGACTCCTTGATATCTCCACCATATATCTCAAAATCATGGGAAAATTCAGCATGTTTAGAATACGAATCATGACCTACCTTTCAACTGCAAACTTGATCGTCCTTCAGGATTCCCTGTGTCAGTTAATGATACCATCAGTCTTCTGTTCTACAAACGAGAAACCTAGGAGTCATCTTTGATGGTTTTTTCTCTCTCTCTGCCTATGTCTAATCTTGTTGATGTTACCTCTCAAATTATTGAGAGGTTACTTTTTAAATAGCTCTCAAATCTGCCTACTTTCTCCACTGCTCCCATGCTAGTCCACACTTCCAGTAACATTCAACTGAACCACTACAATTTTCTCCAACTTGATTTCCCCGTGTTCACTTCTATTGTCTATAATCAGTTCTCCATATGGCAGCTAGAATGACTTTCCTATGAAAATACTTGCTAAACCCCCACTCAAGCCATTTCAATGGCTGTTCAATGTGCCATTGAAGATGGAGATGGAGTCTTGCTCTGTTGCCCAGACTGGAGTGTAGTGGTGTGATCTTGGTTCACTATAACATCCACCTCCTGGGTTCAAGTGATTCTCCTGCAGCAGCCTCCAGAGTAGCTGGGATTACAGGCATGTACCAAAACACCCAGCTAATTTTTCTATCTTTTAGTAGAGATGGGGTTTCGCCATGTTGGCTGGGCTGGTCTTGAACTCCTGGCCTCAAGTGACCCACCCACCTAGGCTCCCAAAGTGCTGGGATTACAGGCCTAAGCCACTGCACCCAGCCCTACTCCTCCCTTTTCTTTCTGTACCTATCTATATATTTATCTTCTTTTGGTTCTTCATGTCATGTTTTCTTTTGCTCTCTTGCCAGAGATACTCTCTACCCCTCTTCACATTATCTAACTTTTCTTCATACATCAGCCCAATATTTATTTCCTATTTCTGTGTTCCTTATCTAAAAAGAGTAAACCCCATATAACCCAAGTCAGTCCAACAGCTTCTGTTCACATCCATAAATGATACTTATCTTCTTTTCTTCTATCCATTGAGACAAGTTCTAAAGTTAGATAGTTTGGATAGGTCTAAAAATTACAGCTATTTATATTGCTGAGAATGAAGGAATGCTAAAAGCCTATTATGTTATCATTATTTTGCAAATGAGGAATCAAGGCTGTAAGGGACATATGGCCCAATCATTCATGTGATACTTGAATCCCTTCTATGAACAGACCAGGTACTCATTCTGTTCTGAGCACTCTTCCAACGTTCATCAGATCCAGCACTCTTCCATGTTCACCTTATTTCTCATAAAGAAAGGAAGAAGAACTAATCCTACTTTTCTGTTGGAATGATGGACTTTTTCTGGAAATAATGTCTCCTAATGTATGGTCATCTCACTATCTATATCAGAATTTCATGGTGCTCCACCTATAACTACAGATTATTGAGGACCCACCCCGGAGTCACTCAAATTATGACTCACTCATAAATATACATAGACTGCTCCATCGTGATCATTAGAATTTGCATCAAATACTCTCTACCCCTCTTCACATTACAGTACCAATCAAATACAGTACCAGAGGCCAAGGGCCTGAAACAATAATTTCTAGCATATTTCCCTTATTTAACACTGTGCCATTTCTATTGGAAAAGTAAAGGTGTTTAATCTAATGATTTAGTCTTAAAGATTCCATGCTAAGAACTGATAATGACATTTTTGCCACCACCACCACCACAAACACCCAACCACAGCTAGCAATCAAAGAGAGGCATTTGTCACAGAAATGGTTGAGTACCTAACTGAATAGCCCTTAAAAGCTTATTACATGTATATTTTTATTCAAACAATGCTCAGTAAACACTTAATTTTTTATAAAATGTATGCACTGAATGTCTGTCTTCTCTATGCCAGACTTGTGCTAGGTCCTAGGTATATAGTTGTAGGTGAAATTGATATGGTCATTGCCTTAGTGAACTTACAGACCAGTGAGGGACATAACCATCAAACAAGGAAACCCACAAATTATTACTGAATTACAGATTATGATAAATGCTATTCATTAAAAAAAGAAACAAGAAGCCGGGTGCAGCAGCTCATTCCTATAATCCCAGCACTTTGGGAGGCTAAGGTGGGTGAATCACCTGAGGTCAGGAATTCAATACCAGCCTGACCAATATAGTGAAACCCCGTCTCTACTAAAAATACAAAAATTAGTGGGGCATGGTAAGCCTGTAATCCTGGCTACTTGGGAGGCTGAGACAGGAGAATCACTTGAACCCAGGAGGTGGAGGCTGCAGTGAGCTGAGATCGTGCCACTGTACTCCAGCCTGGGTGACAGAGTAATACTCCATCGAGAAAGAAAAGAAAAGAAAGAAGGAAGGAAGGAAGGGAGGGAGGGAGGGAGGGAGGGAGGGAGGGAGGGAGGGAGGGAGGGAGGGAGGGAGGGAGGGAAGGAAGGAAGGAAGGAAGGGAAGGAAGGAGGGAACAAGAGAATTCTGTTGAAACAAGAGAATTCTGGTGTGCTTAAAGCAAAAGCTATGAATGGTGAGTAATCAGATTATGAAAGTTTTTGCATGTCATCTTAAGGACTTAAAATGTTAGGGCAGTGAAACAGTGCTAAGGGATTTAAGTAGAGAAGTGGCATAATCAGATTTTTCTAAAGCATAAATCTAGTCACATAATCCTTCATGCAGGAATTGGTTCTCTATCAGAGGTAGTTCTACCTTCTTTGTCAAATATATTCCTCTCTTAAACAGTACCTCAAAAGGATCCCTTATCTGAGGCTTTAGAAAAGTAACAATTGAAATTAGTGTTGATTGAGATAGAATCTAATCCAAAGAAAGGAATGCACCGTTTTACCAATAATTAACTTTACTATTGCATATTATATATATAAAGCATGCAAAGATAGATAGATAGATAGATAGATAGATAGATAGATAGATAGATAGATAGATTGTTGTACACAGCAATGTTATGGAACATATAGCTGTAACTACTAATGTCTTAGCCAAGACCTGCAAGGAGATTCTCACCGAGGTTCTGCTCTGGGTCCTCTTCTGACATCTGGGTTCTCATCTGTTTTGCTGTTCCATTCTGGTCCATATACCATTCTAAAACACTTGGTTCTGTGCCAATATGCTCAGTTTCTTGTGTCAAAGCTGACAGACTGACTACAGAGGGTGTTTGGTCTGTGTCTCCAAGGTTTCATAGTTCCCTCTTTGAAGTAAAGCTTTTAGCTATTTCTATAGCTCTAGTTATTCCTGTTTATGTTTGGAACCACACATAACAAATTCCAGAAAGCAGGCAATTCAGTTCTATTATAACATAAAATTTAGCTCTACTCGAATAAAAGCCTACTATAAAATTATACTGTAACACTGAAATTGCCAGGCAATGATTGTGGCAGTTGCATTGGGAAGGTTGTGTATCTAGGAAGAAAGATAGTTACTTCTAGGATAAATGCTGCCCAGTCAGCTTTCCCTTACATTCCAAAACCATTACTCAGAGCTTAATTCCATTCTCTACTATCAAACATCTCTTGGCAGCAATATTTGGCATCAAATTTGTCCCATTGTTGGCCGGGCACGTTGGTTCATGCCTGTAATCCAGCATTTTGGGAGGCCAAGGCGGGCAGATCACTTGAGGTCAGGAATTCAAGTTGGTCAGACCAGCCTGGCCACCATGGTAAAACCCCACCTCTACTAAAAATATTAAAAAATTAGCCAGGCGTGGTAGCACACATCCGTAATCCCAGCTACCCAGGAGACTGAGGCAGTAGAATCACCTGAACCTAGGAGGTGGCAGTTGCAGTGAACTGAGATCATGCCACTGCACTCCAGCCTGGGTGACAGAGTGAGACCCTGTCTCAAATTTAAAAAAATTTTTGTTGCTTCATCTCCCAAATTTTTTATATGGTTTCGAGTTTCTTTATAGGTGGGTTCAAGTTTCTTTGTATGTAGGTTACACATCTAGGAACATGTAACAGAAGTCCTAGATCTAAAGGAAGTTCTAAGAGTTAAGTAATCCAAAACTCAACTAATACTAAATGTTTTAAAGTATTTTATGTTTTTAATTTGTCCCATAAGTTTACATTCCTCCAGTCAAAACCCTCTTCCCTTCCTTACTTTAGAAGTAGAGATAGACAAGTAAGAAGGTACACCTGGAGGCAGAAAGAATTAAGGGAAAAAAATAAAAATTAAATTAAAAAGGAAAAAAGAATTAATTTCATTTTCCTTTTTTTTTTTTTGAGATGAAGTCTCGCTCTGTTGCCAGGCTGAAGTGCAATGGTACAATCTCTGCTCACTGCAACCTCCACCTCCCAGGTTCAAGCCATTCTCATGCTTCAGCCTCCCAAGTAGCTGGGATTACAGGCATGCACCACCATGCACAGCTAATTTTTATAGTTTTAGTAGAGAAGGGGTTTCACCATGTTGGCCAGGATAATCTCAATCTCTTGACCTCGTAATCCACCTGCTTCGGCCTCTCAAAGTGCTGGGATTACAGGCATCAGCCACCACACCCGGCCTCTTTTTGAAAGATAATTTTTTGCTGGAAATAATGTCTCCCAATGTATGGTCACTGCCCAACCTATATCAGAATTTCTTGAGGCTCCACCTATAACTACAGATTATTGAGGAACCACCCTAGAGTCACTGAATCAGAATATCTGGAAGTGAAGGCATTTTTAACAAGCAATGTTTATATGTGAATAAAAGATTTAAAACAACTAACATAAACATTGTCTCTATAATGTTTAAATATTTATAAAGCAATACACCTTACTGCCCTTGTTTCATCTTTATATTTTCACAAGTGGTACTTTCTTCTCAAATAAAGTGACTGGTGTAAAGCTGACAAATATATTAACTTACTAAATGACTGCTGTAAACAGAAAAGGTACAAAATAACAGAAACACTTGTCCCTGTGAAGTCAATCATCCAATGAAGAAAAAAGACAAACATAAATGAAAAAGACTTAGTTAGTGCATAGGTAGTATACTGGCATAAAAGCAGATATTTGCACAAGTATTTATGAGCTTAGAAAAGCAAGGCGGAAAGTGGAAAAATCAAGTAGGCATCATTGAATGTTTTACTCAGGGAGATAAGGAATTTTAATCAGGAGTTTTGAATAATGAAGGGTAATTTGAAAGCCACTACGATGTGGTAGAACAACCTCTGGCCAAGAAATCAGAAGGATGTCAGAGTCCCTGTTCTACAATTGTGTGATGTTGAGCTAGTCTTTTACGTTGTTAAATTCTGTTTTCTCAGTTGCATAATCAAGGCCAGTCTTCATTTGTTTCTTTATGCTCCCACCTCATTTGAGAAAAGAATAAAGCATACAAGATACACAAGATTTCTTCAGGAGCGCACATTTGATGACTTTACAACTGAAAACCTCACAACCACAAAACACAAAAAGGAAATATTAACAAATGCAAATTGAAACCTACTATTGTTAATAGGCAATCACTCTGTGTATGCATCTCATAACTGTGAAATTATAGAGAGATAATATCCAATCAGAATTCTAAGAGGTTGTCTATGGTCTAGAATTTCTCTGGTGAGCTCTGCCAGGGGCGCAGCTCTGGTAAAACCATAGTGACCCAATCAGAGACATCCGTGTGTTTGATGCAATGGGATTTTGCCCAGCAGTTTCTTCATAGCATCTTTGACTTCCTTGTTTCTTAAACTGTAAATTATGGGGTTCAACATAGGGGTAAGCACTCCATAAAGCAACGAGATGATTTTGTCTATTTTTTGTGAGTTTGATGAAGACGGCTTTAGGTACATAGAGAGGGCAGCCCCGTAATACAAGATCACCACAGTCAAATGGGCACCACAGGTAGAAAAAGCTTTGTTTCTTCCCTCTACTGAGCTGATTCTCGGAATAGTGGAAAGGATGAAGATGTAAGAGATGCAAATTAAGAGCATTGGAATTGGCAACAAGAGAATGCTGACCACCAGCATGATCATGTCCATGAGCAGTGAACTTGCACAAGCTAACTTTAGCACTGCCAGAATTTCACAGGTGAAGTGATCAATGAGATTCCCACAGAGGGGAATCTGCAGGGCGAAACTGGTTTCCAGCAGGGCAGTCAGGCAACCCATCATCCAGGAGACCATGGCCATCTGTGCACAGACACGCCTGTTCATGATGATGAAGTATCTCAGCGGGTTGCAAATGGCCACATAACGGTCATATGCCATCACGGCCAGGAGCACACACTCTGTGGAGCCCATGGCAAGGGATAGATACATCTGTACAGCACACCCAGAAAAGATAATGGTTTTCTGGGATGACAGCAAGTTTACCAGCAAAGTAGGAATAGAGGCAGATGTGTAACAAATATCCATGAAAGAGAGATTTCCAAGGAATAGGTACATGGGGGTTTTAAGGCGTGAATCTAGGATAGTGATTAAAATAAGAGTGCTGTTGCCCAAGAGGGTTGTCAGATACATTACAAGGCTGAAGATGAAGAGAACCACCTCTAACCTTGGGTACTGGGAAAATCCCTCCAAGAAAAAAATGCTCCAAATGGTGAAATTTTCTCCTTGCATTTTCTTTCTTTCATCTATATTTATTTCAGAACTATTCCATTCATTTAATCTGAGGACATAAAAAATGAATAAAGTGTGATATTCATTTAGTTAGAAAAATACTCTCAAATTTATTTCTACTATTATAAATGCAATTTTACTATAAGAAATCACAGGATAGCGTATTTATTTATGTAAGGGGGAAAAGCAGGTTTGATCTATGTAAGTTGATTGTTCCACAACAAAATTTAGATAACAGCGAATTTGAAAAAAGAATATATATATTTAATACTTGAATCTGAGCTCCTAAACCTATCCTTGGCACACAGTAGGTCTTTAATACAGATTTGAAAGTGACTGAATGAGGAAAAATATAAATGTACACTGAATAAGTTATTGAGTTCAAATCAGAAAAGTAATCCAGATAAGTGAATAAAAGAAAGTTTAAATATACAATAAAAAGCAATATTGATCTTCACCGAAACAAAATGAGGAAATTTGAAAGATATAAATAAAATAAATTTTAGGCCAGGCACAGTGCCTCATGCCTGTAATCCCAGCACTTCAGGAGGTCAAAGGGGATGGACTGCTTGAGCTCAGGAGTTAGAACAGCCTGGGCAACATGATGGTCAAATCCTTCCTGTCTCTAGGAAAAATACAAAAATTAGCCAGATGTGGTGGTGCATGTCTGTGGTCCCAGCTATTCAGGAGGCTGAGGCTGAGACTGGGAGGCAGAGGCTACAGTAAGCCGAGATTGCACCACTGCACTCTAGCCTGAGTGACAGTGAGACTCTATCTCAAGTAAACAAACAAACAAATAAATAAATAAGCCAACTTCATAATTGGAGGCTCTGGGTCTAAATAAACTCTGTCCTTTCCCGCTAACAGTTTGGGGGGCTGTATACTGGTTTCAAAAAGGACAACAATGCTCAAAGCATTGTAGATACTAAATTGTAATTATATTTAAGAGCTAGTTTATATCACACAAAATAACCTACTCTCATTTAAATACTAATACATCCACTGTACAGTTTCATTCATTGTTGAGTCCCATATTATTGTGAGTGTGTAAAGAGTTCTAATAATTACAGCTAGGCAATACTTTAAAACCCATATACCTGGAAATGCAGAAACTAAACTCCCTTGGAAGATTACCATAAGATCTTTTTGAAAATAGATAACAGAGCATATAGTTATAAATAAGAACATTGGAATTGGCAAGAGAAGAATGTTGACCGCTGTCATGATCACATCCAGTGACCCACAAAGGGGTCGCTGCAGGGCAAAACTGATTTCTAGGTGAGCCGAGATCACGCCATTACACTCCAGCCTGGGTAACAAGAGCAAAACTCTGCCTCAAAAAAAAAAACTGATTTCTAGCAGGGCAGTCAGAAACTTAAAGTTTTATTTTTTTCTTACATTTCACATTATTAACAAAAAACTATTACAGAAACTTACCTTGCTTCTGAACTCATATTGCCTTTTAATAAACCTTCAACCTTTTTCTTTCTCCACTGAGTCTTTCCTATTTTCAAATACACATGTTCTTAAAAACTGCCTTCATCTTATAAATTTTTCTGCCAAATTTTATATTTAAAAGATTTCTCTAATAATAAAATTATTAGATTATTATAAAAAATTACTTCAAAGAAGCTTAATTTTTATATTACTGTTAAGACTAACAAGCACAAAAGTTTTTAAATGAAAAAATCAGAAAATAGCAAATCCCAGGTAGCTGGGCTATTATTTAAAAAGTAACCATAGCCAAGAAGAATTGATCCTCCCATCTGAATTCTGTCACCAGCTTCAAATAAAATGTTTTATGATGCACTTCATAAAGTTAACTATGTTCAAGAAATAATAAATTAATCCACATTTTAAAATGTTAAATGTTATGTAAAAATCAATAGTGCAATTCATTTCTTTCAAAATTATTAACTTGTACTACCACAACAAAAATGTCAAAGGATAGCAACTGGAATATTAGGTAAATTTAAATCATTGTTGTTTTAGGGGAATACCTATTGTCCCTAAACAATTTAAAGTTCAGCAGCTAAGATATAGAGAGGTTTGAAACTTCAGATCCTTCAGGGATATTGTCCCAAAGATCCAATTATGTCGAACTTTTAAAAAGCTAGAGAGTGAACCATATAGTTCCTCCAAAAGACTTTGGAAAAACTCAGAAAACAAAGTTTTCTATTTGCTTTCTTCTTGTCAATCCTTAGCAATGTCAAGATTTTTTTTCATGAATGATTTCAGTGTAACATACTTAACAGAATACAGAGAAAAGATGTCCCTACAATACTAAGACATATTTTGTGCATTAGTGAAATTACTTTCTAGTTTTCAGAAATTAGGGAAAGAACATTTACTTTTTAAAGGCACAGAGAAATCACTGACTGTCCCAACAAGTGATCAGAAATGTTATTCAATATACACACACTGAGAGGATCATAAAGCAATAAAACGTTGGTAGTAATGGGCATATCCCAGATCTTAGTTTGTTTTGTTCTGTTTCTGAGACAGGATCTGGCTTTGTTGCCCAGGCTGGAGTGCAGTAGCATGATCTCAACTCACTGCAACCATCACCTTCCAGGTTCAAGTGATTCTTCTGCCTCAGCCTCCTGAGTAGCTGGGGACTACAGGTGTGTGCTACCACACAGGGCTAATTCTTGTATTTTTGGTAGAGATGGGGTTTCACCATGTTGGCCAGACTGGTCTCAAACTCCTGAGCTCAAGCGATCCACCCGCCTGCGACCTCCCAAAGTGCTGGGATTACAAGTGTGAGCCATCATGCCCAGCTGCAGATATTCATTTCCTTTTTTTTTTTTTTTGATGGAGTTTCGCTCTTGTTACCCAGGCTGGAGTGCAATGGTGTGATCTCGGCTCACTGCAACCTCCGCCTCCTGGGTTCAGGCAATTCTTCTGACTCAGCCTCCTGAGTAGCTTGGATTACAGGCATGCACCACCATGCCCAGCTAATTTTTTGTACTTTTAGTAGAGATGGGGTTTCACCATGTTGACCAAGATAGTCTCGATCTCTTGACCTCGTGATCCACCCACCTTGGCCTCCCAAAGTGCTGGGACTACAGGCTTGAGCCACCGCGCCCGGCCTATTCATTTCTAAACACCATTCTCAACTAGAAGGAAACATGGCTCCTTGTGAAAATAACTAACACAGAACTAGTATAGGGAAAGAACAAGATTAACTTAGAGAATCTTACTGTACCAGAAACTAAGAAATATGCAAAGAGTGGTAGAGATGCAGCAAAGGGTCATAGACACCCACTTGATGAAGCTCCCATTGCTAAATTTAGGGCAGATTATTCAAAGCATCAAAATAAAAAAAGATTGATCATAATTCACAGAATAAAATAAAAATGTACAAGTTCATTATGATGTAAAAAAATAGTAATAGAAAGCTCTTCCTCACAGTAAGATGCCAAAAAATAAATATAGAGGAATGATGTTAGAAAAGAATCACAGTTAAGGGTTTTGTAGGCAATAGATTCCCATAGGTAAAATGTTGCATTAGGTTGATGCAGCATTGTAGTTGTTGAAGGTAAAAGTTAGATGAACAGGATATTTACATGGTGTCAAAATATCTCACCACAAATTACTTAATAAGTTTAAACATAAAATAATAACTTTAAGGTGGGGAGACCTGGAGGATAATCATGTTAACATCACCAGTATTGGAACAAATAGACTACATGTGCCTTCTGATATGAGGTACTGAGAATACACTATCACCTCTGTGGTATTCCCATCAAAATTAAATCACCTGAATCTAACCATGAGTGCAAACCAGACAAACCTAAATTTAGGGATATTATGCAACATAATCAGCCTACACTTTTCAGAAGTACAGACAAGTCTCAAAAAAGGATATACAAATGGCCAAAAAACATATCAAAAAAATGCTCAACATCACAAATTATCAGGGAAATGCAAATCAAAACCACAATGCAATACCACCTTACTCCTGCAATAATGGCCTTAATCAAAAAATAATAGATGTTGGCATGGATGGGATGAAAGGGAAACACTTTTACATTGCTGATGGTAATGTAAACTAGTACTACCACTATAGAAAACAGTGTGAAGTTTCCTTAAAGAACTAAAAGTAGATCTACCATTCAATCCAGCAATACCACTTTTGGGTATCTACACAGAGGAAAAGAAGTCATCACACGAAAAAGCTATTTGCATGCATATGTTTTTAGCAGTACAATTCACAATTGCAAAAATATGGAACCAGCCCCAATGCCCAACGATCAATGAGTGGATAAAGAAAATGTGAGATACAGATATGTATAATGGCATTTGCAGCAACCTGGATGGAATTGAAGATCCTTATTCTAAATGAAATAACTCAGGAATAGAAAACCAAACATCCTACGCTATCACTCAAAAGTGGGAGCTAAGCTATGAGTATGCAAAGGCATAAGAATGGCACAATGAACTTTGGGGACTTGGGGGAAAGGAGGGGGGAGTGGGGAATAAACGACAATATACCAGAGTAGTGTAAACTGATGGGTGTACCAAAATCTCAGAAATCACCACTAAAGGACTTATCCATGTAACCAAACACTACCTGTTCTCCCAAGACCTACTGAAATAAAAAAGAAGAAAAAATAAAATAATAAACTCCTAATTTTTTTTAAAAAAAGTATCACAATCAATCAGGAAACAAAAAGAGAAACCAAGAAAATGTTCCATACCTGAAAGAGACAGGACAACTAAATACAATACATGCCCAGCATTGAAGCTTAGATCAGGAAAAACTGGGCTATAACTGACATTATTAGGACAATCAACAACATTTGAATATGGGCTGGGGATTAGATATTAGTAGTCTATCAATATCACATTTCCTGATCTTGATCACTGTACTATGGTTATGTAAGATAATGCTCTTTTTCTTAGGATATACAGACTGAAGCATTTACTGTTAAAAGAGGAAAATCTCTAAAGAATGTGGGAAAGCCTTTACCTTCTCCTCAACTCTTAATACTCATAAGAGGATTCACATTGGAGAGAAATCCTACAAATGTGAAGAATGTGACAAAGCTTTTAAGTGGTCCTCAGGTCTATCTAATCATAAGGTAATTCATACTGGAGAGAAACCCTACAAATGTGAATAATGTGGCAAAGTACAGCCCTCAGGCCTTCTAATACATAAAATAATTACACTGGAAAAAATTACTACAAGTGTGGAGAAGAAGTTACTGGCAAACCTTTAACCAGTTCCAAGCCTTTATTGTACATGAGATAATTCATATTTAGACAAAAATCATATAAATATAAAAAAGTAACAAAGCCTTTAACCAGACCTCAAACCTTAATGAACCTAAGAGAATGTATTTAAAAAACATTTTTTTGAGATGGACTCTCGCTTTGTCACCCAGGATGGAGTGCAGTGGCACGGTCTTGGGTCACTGCAACCTCTGCCTCCTGGGGTAAAGCGGTGCTCCTGCCTCAGCCTCCTGAGTGGCTGGGATTACAGGCATGTGCCACCATATGGGCTGATTTTTGTGTTTTTGGTATAGATGAGGTTTCACCATGTTGACCAGGCTGGTCGCAAACTGCTGACCTCAGGTGATCCACCTGCCTCAGCCTCCCAAAGCCTACGAGAGTTTATATTAGAGAGACCCTACAAAGGTAAAACATGTGACAAAACCTTTAAGCACATCTAGGCCTTAGAAAATATTAGATCATTTATTCTAAAAATGCAATGAATGTGAAAGGAGCAAAATATCTCCAACTTACCCTGAAATCATTGGTAAAAACACGTTTTTTAAAAGTTTTGTGTGAAGAGAAGAAGCACTTATTCCCACATTCTTATTGCAAGTCATGCAGTCTCCGTATTTTCTGCATCCTTATGATGGCTCATTTACTTTGATCACTGACGGCAACGTACAGAAAGAAGACCATCAGAAGAACTTGGTCCGACCACACAAATAGGCAAATTGTTTCCATCTAGGAAAAGAAGGAACAACACAACTATATTGAATAATATAAAATTTTTAAATAGAGCTAATTAAGTAGTAGGATTATATTTTGGGGATAATGGGTTAAAGTGTCCCATAGAGCTTGAGCTTGGAAAAGTGAAACTCACTAAGCCCAATAGGTTGGTTTGACTGTAAAACATGGGAAACATGATTGTTAATGACTTCAAGTTTTAATAATATTAATCTTGACACTTTATTTTTCTAAAAGTCAGCACTCACGACAAATCCCTCCCATCACCAGGCAACAAAACAACAAGAATTTTAGAAGAAAATTTTATGACAATGAGATGGCCGTCTATGTAGAAAATCTGAAAGAATCAACAAAAAACTGCTAAAACAAACAACAAGCAATTCCAGTAAGGCTTCAGGATACAGGGTTAATGTACAAAAGTCAGTTACTCTCCTGTATACCAGCAAAGAAGAAATGGAATTTGCAATTAAAAACACAACATTATTTACATTAGCATCCCTCCTCCGCAATGATATACTTGGGCATAAACCTAACAAAATATGTGTATGATCTATATAAGGAAAACTACAAAACTCTGATACATGAAATCAAAGAACTAAATAGAGATATTTCATGTTCTTGGATGCTAGAAGACAATATTGTCAAGATGTCAGCTCTTTTCAACATGAGCTATCGATTCAATACAATCCCAATTAAAATCATAGGAAGTTATTTTGTAGATATCAATAAACTGACTCTAAAACTTTTATGCAAAATGGTACAGCCACTTTGGAAGATAGTTTGGCAGTTTCTTTCTTACAAAGTTAAACATACTCTTACCACATGATTTAGCAATTGTGCCCATTGGTGTTTACCCAAAGGAGTTGAATACATGTCCATACAAAAATGTACACAAAGATGTTCATAGCAGCTTTTTTCATAATTCCCAAAACTTTGAATCAACCAAGATGTCCTTTAGTAGGTGAATGGATAAATAAATGATGGTACATGCAGCCAGTAGAACATTGTTCAGCACTCAAAAGAAATTAGCTATTAATTCCTGGAAAAAAAAACATGGGGGATGAATTTCAAGTCAAGGCTAAATAAAAGACATGAAACTTAAATGCATATTGCTCAGTGAAAGAAGTAGAAATTCAGACTACTTAAGGGAGGTATTTGTGACATTATATAAGTTTGGCAAAGATTTTGGATTAAGAACTTTCTTTTCTTGTATTCATTTTTTAAATTTTTTTAATTTTTGTGGGTAGGTTTTTGTTTCTTCTAGGAGTTGGTTCAACTGTGGTCAGAGCTAATGAGCTAATCCTCAGAATTAAACAGCCTGGTAAAACTAATGAAAGGAGAAGATTCATTCTGTGAATAAATATTCTCCAGGAGAATTATCTAAAAGAAAGTTATTTCACTAAAGAATTTATGGTCTAGGCCAGGTGCGGTGGCTCAAGCCTTTAATCCCAGCACTTTGGGAGGCCGAGGTGGGTGGATCACGAGGTCAAGAGATCGAGACCATCCTGGTCAACATGGTGAAACCCCGTCTCTACTAAAAATACAAAAAAATAGCTGGGCATGGTGGTGCGTGCCTATAATCCCAGCTACTCAGGAGGCTGAGGCAGGAGAATTGCCTGAACCCAGGAGGCGGAGGTTGTGGTGAGCCGAGATGACGGCATTGCACTCCAGCCTGGGTAACGAGAGCGAAACTCCATCTCAAAAAAAAAAAAAAAAAGAATTTATGGTCTAGCCAGGCGTGGTGGCTCAAGACTGTAATCCCAGCATTTTGGGAGGCCAAGGCTGGTGGATCACTTGAGGTCAGGAGTTTGAGACCATCTTGGCCAACATGGTGAAACACCCTCCCTACTAAAATACAAAAATTAGCTAGGCATGGTGGCATGCACCTGTAATCCCAGTTACTCGGGAGGCTGAGGCAGGAGAATCACTTGAACCCAGGAGGTGGAGGTTGCAGTGAGCCAAGATTACGTCACTGCACTTCAGCCTGGGCGACAAAGCGAGATTCTGTCTAAAATTAAAAAAAAAAAAAATGTATGGTCTAATATTAGGAATTACATGTAAAAGGACACTTTTACATAATATTAAGAATTACACCTAAAAGAACACTTACAATTTTATATATTTCATAATGGAATTATGTGAGCACAAACAGATAGAGGGGTCATGGAAGTGATAATCTGCAGGCCACATCTGGCAGACTCCCAAATTAACTGCCCAGGGAAAATCTTATAACTCGTGGTGTGCATCCTGTTCCATGAGTAAAGAATCTTGAGTTCCTCCTACTGTTGAAGTACTGATGAATAGGTAACCTGTTGACATTGAAAAGAACACTGATTTGTTTCTGAATCATGTAGTTTTACTGCTTGTCTTGCACATAGAACATTTTAGCCTGTACATTGTCATCTGTAGCCAATGACTGCAACCTTTTTATTGTAATCACCAGTGAAAAAGGACACCTTCCATTTGAAGAGTGCCCCTCCCTGCTCCTGAACTTTCCCAGAAAAGCCTTTCGAGTTGAAGATGACTCCAGACCATGCCCAATTTTGTTAGTGTACCTTCCCAAGTTGGTCCTCACACTTACATTTGACTTCCAATAAACCTTAATCAAATTACTTCTGCCTCAATCTCCTTAACTTTGGTTGGCAGAGGCTTCTCTCCAGATCACCCTCCTCCCCCCACCCCCAGAAAAAGATCCCAAGCACAGACTAGAAATAAATGGTAAACAATGAAGTTTCCAGAGCCTTATTTTCTAAACACAGAACTTCTGGTTTAACACATTCTTGCATTTGAAAGTCATTTTGATTGCCAAAAGAGTCAGATAAAAGCATAAACTTACTTAAAAGACTTCCAGAGGAGATGGTATTGACATCATAAATGGGTTTAATGCCATATTAAGTAAGTTGAAATTAATTCTGTGGACAATGGAGAACCATTTTAAGTAAGATAGAGACATAATTTGGATTATGACCAAATCAAGATGTAGAATATTCTTGAACCAAGAAGATCCCTTATGCCTATTTACAGTCAATGACCTCCCCTGACAGCATGCCCCCAACTACAGATCTCACTTCTGTCACTATAGTTTTTCCTTATCTAGAATTTCACATAAATATAACTATGTGTAGCATGCAGTCATTTCACTTAGCAAAATGTTTTATGTTTATGTAGTCATTTCTTTTATTGCTGAGTTATATTCCACTGTGTAGATTTACAACTGTTGGTATACTCACTACTCGATAAACATTTTAATGGTTTTCAGTTTTGGCCTATAATAAATATTTACTTATGAGTCTTTGTGCAAACATAGATTTCCATTTGTCTTAGGTAAATATAGGGGTGTGAAATTTATGGGTCATAGTACAAGTGTATGCTTAACTTCATATGATACGTCGAACCATTTCTCAAAGATGCTGTCCTATTTTGCTATCCCATTAGCAATATGAGAACTCCTCTTGATCCACATCTGTGCCAATGCTTTATTTTGTCACTCTGATTTTAGTCATTTCAATGTGTCATGTCATATGTTCATTTTTTTCCCCAGGAAACATGATTTACTAACATATTTTAACAAGTAGTGTGGATAGAAAATAACCAATACCATGTTTTTGTATCTACAAATTATAAATACTCAAAAATGCCCCAAAATGCTCCAAATGTTTTTTAAAAACCATTTGATTGAGATATAATTCACATATCATACTATTTAACCATTTAAAATATACGATCCAATAATTTTAAGTGGATTCACAGAGTTGTACAACTATCGACACAAAATCAATTTTAGAACATCAACCTTAAAAGAAACTCACACTCATTAACAGTCATTCTCTATTTTCCCCCAAACCCTTAACCCTAGGAAACTGTTAATCTACTCTGTTTCTATAGATTTGCCTGTTCTGAACATTTCTCATAAATGGAGTCACACACTGTGTGGTCTTTTAAGCTGACTTCTTTCCCTTATCATGTTTCCAAGATTCATCCAAGTAATAGCAAGAATCATTATTTCATTCCTTTTCTTGCCAAATAACATCTCATTGTATGGATATCCATACACAATGAGATATTTGGCAAGGAATGAAATAATTGTACATGCCAAATATCTCATTGTATAGATATGCCACATTTAATTTTTATCTAGTCATCCATTGAGCATTTGGGTGTTCCCAGTTTTTGGTTTTTATAAATAATGTTCCTATGAACATTTATAATTTTGGGGGACAGATGTTTTCATTTCTCGAGTATATGTTACACTTTGTTTAAACATTTGAGAAACTGCAAAACTATTACCCAAAGCAGCTGTATCATTTTACATTCCCACCAGCAATGCTTGAGGATTCCAATTTCTCCACTTCCTTATCAATACGTATGTGTCTTTTTTTTTAATAGCCATTCTAGACAGTTTGTACTGGCATCTCATTGTGGTTGATTTTTATGTATATATTGACCACCTGTATATCTTCTTTGGATAAATTTCAATCCAGATCCTTTGCCCACTATAGAAATTAGTTTTCTTTTTGAGTTGTAAAAGTTTTTTCCTATATATTCTGAATACAAGTTCCTTATCAGATATAGAATTTGCAAATATTTTATCCGAATCTGTAGGCTTTTTCTTTCTTGATAGTGTCCTGTAAAAACACAAAAAGATGTTAATTTTGATGGAGTTCAATTTATATATTTTTTCTTTTGTCACTGAGCTTCTGGTATAATGTCTAAGAAGTCTTTGCCTTACCCAAGGTTATGAAGATTTACTTCTAGATTTACTTTTAAGAGTTTTACAGTTTTTGCTCTTACATTTAAGTCTGATCCATTTTGAGTTCATTTTGTGTGCAATGTAAGGAACAAGTCCAACTTCATTCATTTGCATGTAGGTGTCCAGTTGTACCAGCACCATTTGTTGAAGACTATTCTTTCCTCATTGAGTGAATTTGACACTCAAGTTGAAAGTCAATTTGCCATAAATGTGAAGGTTTATTTCTGGACTCTTAATTCTATTCCTTTGAACTGTATGTACAATCTTATGCCAGTACCACGTAGACTCGATTACTATAGATTTTTAGTAAGTTTTGAAGTCAGGAAGGAGGAATAATCCACTTTTGCTCTTTTTCAAAATATTTTAACTATTGTGGGTCCTTTGCACTCCACATCAATTTTAGAATTAGTTTGTCTATTGAATCTGTAAGTCAACTTGGTCAGTATTGTCATCTTAACAGTATTAAGTTTTCTAATCACAAGCATGGATGTCTTTCCATTTATTTAGCTCTTCCTAATTTCTTTCAACAATATTTTATAACTTCCCAGAGTGTAATTTTTGCATGTGTTTAAATTCATTTTTAAAAATTCATTTTGAATAATTTTTTATTAAAAATGAAAGTTTCCTTAATTTCACTTACAGAAATTGGTACAACATAGAAATAAGTGATTTTTGTAATTAACAGAAAAATCAATCATTAATTGATCCTCAACCTTGCTGAACTCATTTATAGTTCCAATAGGCTTTTAGTGAATTCCTTGGAATTTTCTATATACAACATATTATCGAAAATATCATTAACTTACTTCTTTCTTTCCAATCTTGATGCCTTCTGTTTACTTGACTGATTTCCCTAGATAGAACTTCCAGTATAATGTTTAATAGAAGTATCAAGAGTAAACATTCTTATCTCTTTCCTGATCTGAGAGGGAAAACATTGTCTTTTTCCATTATGTATCATCTAACTCTATTATGTAGTGTCATGTAGTATTATGGTGTAAGCTGTGTGTTTTTTGTAGATCCACCTTATTAGTTGTTGAAGTTTTATTTTATTCCAAATTTCTGAGTGGGGTGTGTGGGGGGGTGTGTATAAAATGAAGGGTTATTGGATTTTATCAAATGCTTTTTCTGCATCTGAGATTATAATGTGGTTTCTTTTTTCCTTAATTGGTATGAGGCATTATATAATTTGATTTTCATATTAAACCAACCTTGTATTCCTGAAATGAATGCCTCATGGTCATGATGTATAGTCCTTTATCTATATTGCTTCACTCGGTTTCTAGTATTTTGCTCACAAGTTTTACATCTATATTTATAAGGGAAATCTCTCTGTAGCTTGTATAATTTTTCATCTATGTCTTTGTCCAGTTTTGGTACTAGGGTCTTCTATTTTCTTCTATTTTTTCAGAAGAGTGTGTAAATAATCGATAGCCTTTTGATACAGGCATAACTATTATGTACCTATAATTTAAAATTTAAAAGTTTTAAATTTTAAAAAGAACTGGCATTCTTTAAAGTGTTTTGTAGAATTCACTTCTTTGCGGGTAGCTTTTTGAGTAGTAGCTCAACTTCTTTACTTGCTGTAGGTCTATCCATATTTTCTATTTCTTCTGAGTCAGATTTAATTTTTTTATTTGTATCTTCCTAAGAATGTGTCCGTTTCATCTAAGTTGTATCTAATTTGTTGTCATATAGTTGCTCATAGTATTCCTTTATATTCTGGTTTATTTTTTAAGATTAGCAAGTAGCAATATCTCTTTCATTCCTGTTTTAGTAATTCAGTGAGTTTTGTTTGTTTTTTGGTCAGTTCAGTCTACCTACAGATTTGCTGATCAAGAATTTGGTTGATATTTTCAAAGAACCAACTTGCAGTTTCATTTTTTTCTCCCTATTCTGTTTCATCATTTCTGCTCTGATCCTTATTTCCTCCCTTCAGGTTTAATTTGCTCTTTCCCCCCCGACTCCCCATCCGCCACCCCCACCCCTAATGCTTCAAGAGAAGGTTTGGGATAGGTCTGATTTGTTTTTTGTTTTGTTTTGAGCCAGGGTCTCACTCTGTCGCCAAGACTAAAGTGCAGTGATGCAATTATGCAGCCTCGAACTCCTGGGCTCAAGCATTCCTCCTACTCTGCCTCCCAGGTAGCTGGGACTACAAGCACACGCTACCGTGACTGGCTAATTTTTAAATTTTTTCATACAGACATGGTCTGGCTATATTGCACAGGCTGCTCTTGAGCTGCTGGCTTCCAACAATCCTCCCACCTCGGCCTCCTAAACTTCTGGGATTACAGGCATGAGCCACTGCACCTGGTCTTTGTTATTATTTATTTATACTCTAGTAAGATGGCCTATTTTTTTTAATGTGTTTTCAGTTATAAATTCCCCTCTAAGCACTGCTTTTGCTGCATTTCATAGGTTTTGGAGTTTTGTGTCATTTTCATTCATCTCAAAGTATTTTCTAATTTCTTAGGTGGCTTCTTCTTGTTCCACTATTTAGAAGTATGTAACTTAATTTCCACGTTTACAAAATTCCCAGTTTCACTGACTTATTAATTTCTATTTTCAATTCATTGTGATTAGTACCTTTCCTACAATTTCAGTCCTCTCACATTTTGATAGGAATTGCATTGAATCTGTAGATCGGCTTCAAAATTGTGGCTTGTTTTATGGCTTATGGACTTGGGCAGGCCCCAAGAGAGGTGATAAGTATATGTCAATGTAAGTTCATTAATTGCAACAAATGTATCACTGTGGTACAAGATGCTGATAGTGGGCAACGTTGTGGATGTGTGAGGAAAGGGCGTATATGGAAATAAACCTCCCTTTTGAAAGAAATATACTCAAGGTGTTTTTCATACTTTTCTTCTTCCCTTACATTTTTGATTTCTGGAGAATAGTTCTGAACAATGTAAACCTTCATTTCAAAACCTTATTTCTAAAATTCCTGAAATGGCCAGAATAATTCAATGTCAAATTAGAAAGATCATATGAGCACAGAAAAGAATAAGCTAGAATCCAATACCTAGGAATCCAAACAAGAGCAAACAGAAGTTTCAAGTGCAAATAAATATACCATATTCCACACTCCATATCTGAAGAACTTTTAAAAACCTGAACTCTCTAATTTTTTGACCAGAGGCAAAATTACCTACCCATATTATCCTCTTCACTTCAAACTCACGTGTAGTCCAGGTGCAGTGGCTCATGCCTGTAATCCAACTTTGGGAGGCCAAGGCAGGTGGATCACTTGAGCTCAGGAGTTCGAGACCAGCCTGGGCAACAAACATAGTGAAACCACCTCTCTACAAAAAAATACAAGAATTAGCTGAGCACAGCAGCATGTGCCTTTAGTCCCAGCTACTTGGGAGGCTGAAGCAGGAGAATCAATTTGAGCCCAGGAGTTTAAGATCGCAGTGAGCCAGGATCATGCCACTTTACTCCAACCTGGGCAATGGAGAGACCCTGTCTGAAAAAAAAAAGGAGGGGGTGGGCAGGCACAGTGGCTTACACCTGTAATCCCATCCACTGAGGTAGGTGGATCATGAGGTTGGGAAATCGAGACCATCCTGGCCAACATGGTGAAACTCTCTAATAAAAATACAAAAAAAAAAAAAAAAAAAAGCTGGGCATGGTGGCACTTGCCTGTAATCCCAGCTTCTTCTTGGGAGGCTGAGGCAGGAGAATCACTTGAACCAGAAAGTTTGAAGTTGTAGTGAGCCAAGATTGTGCCACTGCATTCCAGCCTAGTGACAGAGCGAGACTCCGACTCAAAAAAGAAAAAATTGCTCATGCCTGTAATCCCAACACTTAGGGAAGCAGAGGCTGGTGGATCACCTGAGGGCAAGTGTTTGTGACCAGCCTGGCCAACATGGTGAAACCCCATCTATACTAAAAATACAAAAAATTAGCCAGATATAGCAGTGGGTGCCTGTAATCCAGACACTCAGGAGGCTGAAGAAGGACAATTGCTTGAACCCAGGAAGCGGAGGTTGCAATGTGCCGAGAAGGCACCACTGCACTCCAGCCTGGGCAACAGAGCCAGACTCTGCCTCAAAAAAAAAAAAAAAAAAAAAAAAATTTTTTTTTTTTTTAGTTTGATCTAAAACATAATTCAAATAGGCATTATTTTTTAGAGACGTTTCTAGTTCAAAGCAAGATTGAGAGGAAGGTACAGAGTTCCCATATACCTGCTACCCTCACACACACACAACCTTGTCCACTATCAACATCTTGTACCACAGGGTTATACTGGTTGCAATTGATGAGCTTACACTGACATACAGTTATCACCTGAAGTTCACAGTCTGCCTTCAGGCTCACTCCTGGTGGTGTACATTCTATAGGTTTGGGCAAATGTACAATGATATATCCACAACCATAGTATTATACAGAATGTTTTCACTGCCTTAGAAACCCCCTGTGCTCTATTCACGCTTCCCTTCCCCAATTCCTGGCAATCACTGATCTTCTTACTGTCTCCACAGCTTTGCCTTTTCCAGAATGTCACATAGTTGGAATCACACAGTATGTAACCTCTTCAGATTGACTTTTTTTCATTACATAATAGGAATTTATGTTTCCTCCATGTTTCTCATAGCTTGATAGCTCTTTTTAGCACTGAACAATATTCCATTTTCTGGATATACCAGTTTATCCATTCACCTACTGAAGGACAGCTTGGTTACTTCCAATTTTGGGGTATTTTGGATAAAGCTGCTATAAATATCCATGTGCAGATTTTGCATGGACACAAGTTTTCAATTCACCTGCATAAAGATCAATGAGTACAATCAAATGGCAAGGGTATGTTTAGCTTTGTATAGTTTTTTTTTAAAAGAACAAATATTCTCAAATTCTATGTCCAGTACAACAGAGTAACTTCCCAGAAGACTGCCTTGTATATAGAAACTATAAACACTGCATTAAAAAACAAAGCAATTTTCTTAAGGCTCTAGAGTCAGGGTCAGGTAGATTTGGGCAGAGAGCCAAAAAACATGGAAGGGGCCAGCAAGGGGTGACTTTTGGGGCTTTGGGGCTTTGTCCTTAAGGTAAAGCACAGTCAGAGCATGGCTCAGAACAGCTACAGCTCCCACTGAAAATCACTTTCTCTCCAGGCTACGGGAGACAGAGCCCACTAAAAACTAAAGGGGAAATCCTGGAAATAAAACAGCAGAGAAGGAGAACCCCAGTTTCTATGCGTAACTCTGTCCAAGTCTGTGACTAACCTCTGAACCACCTATGTTCACGGCAGACTGCAAACAGCTCAGCCCCCCCACCCCTGCAAAAAAAGGCTGAACTGAGATCTGAGCCACCCACCAAAGGGGAGACAGTTGGCAGTTTGAGTCTAACCATATTCATCACCTGCTAAAATTGAAAAGCAGCTCCTCAGAGGAATGGTCCAGAGTCTCCACAACATAACATGCATAATAGCCAGGAATGTTGGGATACAATCCCAAAATACCAGATTTATTAAGAACCAGGAAATTATGTTGAGGACCTGGGGAAGGCAATCAAAAAAGACCGAAGCCAAAATGATCCAGATGTGTAGTATCAGATAAGAATTCAGAAGCAATTATAATTATGCTCGATTATGTTTTTTATTCATGTTAATGAATGAAAAGATTAGAAATAGAAAATGTTTTAAATGAACCAAATGGAAACTTTAGAATGAAAAATTAAAATATCTGAAGTAAAAACTCACTAGATGGGCTTTATTATCAGGATGAACATGGTAGTGTCAGTAAACTTAAAGAGAATTTTAAGAAAATGACTTGGACCTGTACAATATCAAAAGATCTAACACAGGTTTAACTAGAGTTCTAAAAAGAAAGGAGAGAAGATGGCACAGGGAAAAATAACACTTGAGTAAATGACAAAAAAAAAAAAATCCCAAATTCAGTAAAATGCATATATTTAGAAATTCAAAAATTGAAGCAAAACTTGAAGATAAATATTAAGAAAAGCACACCTAGGTATATCAAAGTGCTGAAATCCAAAAATAGGAAAAATCATGAAAGGAGACAGAAAGAAAATTACTCACCACATCCAGATAGCAACAATTTGAACGGCCACAGAAATCTTACTGGAAACCCTGAAGGCCAAGAAACAGTGGGGCATCTTTACAATGCTAAAATAAAACAAATACTCAAAAATACTGATGTTCAGAAAAGATTTTGTATTTGAAGACTGTTCTGGAATCAAAAGTAGCATAACAGAATTATATATCTAACCATTAATACCCAAAATTGGTTTTTAAGTACTTTCTCACTGTCCTTTTTCATAAAAGCTTTTTCAATTCTATTTCAATGTAAAAGAAATGTAACATTTTTAAAGATAAACACTTAAAACTTTCAGAAAGCATCATTGTTTGAAAGGTTGGCTGTTTCCAACTTAATTTTAACATTATAATGTTTCTCTTAAAAAAAAAAGTATTACTCTAGCTCCATGGCTCCCACCTGTAATCCCAGCACTTCGGGAGGCTGAAGCATGCGGATCACCTGGTGCCAGGAGTTTGAGACCAGCCTGGCCAAGGTGGTGAAACCCCGTCTCTACTCAAAGGCAAAAATAAGCTGGGTGTGTTGGCAGGAGCCTGTAATCCCAGCTACTCAGGAGGCTGAGGCAGGAGAATTGCTTGAACCTGGGAGGCAGAGGTTGCAGTGAGCTGAGATCATGCCACTGCACTCCAGTCTGGGCAACGGCAGAGCAAGACTCCGTCTCAAAAAAAAATTGTTACTCTTAGTAAGCTACTTTGGAATCTGCCTGAAAGGAAAAAGAAAAGCATACCAGGAGGGAACAGCATAGGGTTGTGGGCTGCTCCAAAGAATAAGCAAGGTAACTCACTTTCAAAGCCATCTTCCCACAATCTAAAATTTGCTTGGCAGTTTACAGTAAAAGATGTATTTGTACCTCTGACATTTTATGTCTGTAGCCACGTACCTTAATCTT